CCGATTGTTCCTATGGGAGCTATATGCTATAGTCGTCCGATTTTGATGAAATTTAAACCATAATTCTGAATTATTTAACCATTGCTATATGTCGAAGAACTAAACAAAAAATTAAAAAACAGCAAAGTTATAATTTTTTTTCAATTATTTTTCCGATTGTTCCTATGGGAGCTATATGCTATAGTCGTCCGATCCGGCTCGTTCCGACTTATATACTACCTGCAATAGAAAGACAACTTTTGGGAAAGTTTCATGCAGATAGCTTTAAAACTGAGAGACTAGTTTGCATATAAACGGACGGACAGACGGACGGACAGACGGACGGACAGACGGACATGGCTAGATCGACTCTACTAGTGATGCTGATCAAGAATATATATACTTTATAGGGTCGGAAACGTCTCCTTCACTGCGTTGCAAACTTCTGACTGAAATTATAATACCCTCTGCAAGGGTATAAAAATGAAAATAAAAATGTAATGCAAAACATCGCATACACATTAAGTGTCTTAAGAAACCAAAATATATATATATAACAAAAAAACAACTTTTATTTTTTCTAGAACAAAATTTTAATTTTTATACTTATTTAAAAAAGTTTGATTTAAAAACTAATTAATTTTTATTGTATAAATTTAATAACTTGTTCTTATATTTACCTTTTTTGATTATATTCATTATGCTCCCTGCTAGGAATACCTGAATTTTTAAAAGGCTACACCAGTGTAACTCTTTCAAAAATCAATATTTTCATATAGTTTACAATTCACAAGGTCGTACCAAAAATAAATTTTGAATGGCAGCGTTCTAAAGAGTGACCGCTCCCTATTATTCGTGGGTTACACTGGTATAGCCCCTTAAGGGAGTATTATATGGTTTTTGTTGACATTTTATAAATACAAAAAAATATTAATTTAAAAAAAAACCCACTATTTGCCGACATACATACTTGTGGAGTGCGGTCTTTAAAAAAAAGCTGCGTCCTGGTTGACATGATTTCATGTAAAGATCAGAAAAAAATAAAATCCAAACTAATTCTTCATTGATAAAGAAGTCGCTATCGGTTTGTCCACTTTCCAAAAAATTAAAAATATCAAAACGCCGTCGATTTGAAAACCAAAAATGTTTTTTAACCAATTCTTCGATCTTTTCAACTATTTTTAAAGTACCAATAATCAAATTTTGTTCAAGTCCGAGGAAGACGCGGTAAAAATAAACAAGATATATACCAAATTTCAATGGGTTCAGTAGAACTTGAAATGTCATGTAAACCACCTCAAAAAAAGTAGTTTCGAGAAAAACGCGTTAAAGTCACGTCACAAAATCGGCTGTATCTCCTTATATAATTCAAATTTTGAAAAATCTTTTTAGGAACATATTTTAAAAATTCTATGCATTCAATATAAAAAATAATAAAAAAAAAGGTTTTTTTTTTTAAATTTCTAGACCAGAATACCCCCTTAAGGATACTTAAAAGCAAATGTGGATTTGTCACAAAACCAGAGCTCGCATATAACCGTCAACCGATTTTTCCAATGCAATCTGCATACTGACAAAACAAAATAACATTTTACACGGACATTGCTTGACCGAAACTCTCGCGGTTTTCTGTCCAAGTGCTCGACTCAACAGAATAAACTAACAACAACTCCAGACACACTTTCCATTGAGCGTTCATATCAAAATTGTTTTCAAAAGTCGACTGCGAAATAAACGTCTCCAAAAAGGTTTGTTTTTATTGCGAGCGAAAAGGGAAAAGGAAGAGGCTTGATTAAGACCTTATGTAGGAAAGGAATAAAATACATTTTACAGACAAACATTTTTTTTTATTAAGAACTCATTTAAGCAACTAGCATTAGCAAAGAATATAGGTGTTCTGCTAAGTGCATATGAATCGGAACTAAATTTCGCTGGCACACACACAGAATAACTCGTAACAGAAACACTTTTGTCGAAAGTGACCGATCAAAGTAGTTCCTGAACGACTGAACCAAAAAGACCACAAAAAAAAACTGTCTGCTCAGAGCGGAACATCTATTGAGCGAAAAAACTTTTGAAAGTTTTTGCTCCCGATTCATTCTCAAAGTGTCCGTAGAAGATAGTTTATTTTATTTGCGAGCTCTGCACAAAACTCTAAACTTTAAAACTAGAAATTTTAATAAAATAGGTATTAACCGGACATTTTTTTAAAGTTGCATTACGGCTTTATCTGTTATACCTCTTCGTCATATGAGTTGGTGAAAACATAATCGAATAATATTCATAACAAAACGATCACAGGAAAATTATATTTTTTGACACTTTGACGGCTTCTGTCCTTAAGAGGGTCTTCTACGTTTTACTTTATACAACTTAATGGATTTGAGGGCATACTCTATGCATGCATCTTCACTTTTTCGCTAAGGTTAACCAAAAAAAGAGACAAACTTCGGCAAGCCGAACCTTTGCAGCTTTGCGAAAATTAAATATTCTTTAAAACATCTAAACTTCGAATTGTATGCGTGTATGCTTAAAAACATATCGTTCCTATGGCAGCTATATGAAATCGTTGTCCGACTTGAATAAAATTAAAAGTGTTATTCTGAATTATTTAACCATTAGTACATCCAAAAGAAATGAAACAATTTTTAAATAGAGATGTTACAATTTTTACTTTAATTTTTCAATGGGAAAATACTGATCAGGAATATATGTATATACTTTGAAGAGTCAGAATGTATCAGTTAAAATAAGGATCGAGAACTCAACATTCGTTCGTCCTTTAATGAAAAATATAAGGACTAAAATTTTAATTTTCAATAATTAATCATTTTTTAAGCACTATTTACCTATAAAAAAATATTGCACACTTGTCGCTTTTGAGTTTTAGTAGAAATGCTGTGGCATTCCAAACGCGAAAAATAGTGGAGTTGATCTTGAAAAATGCGACATCTACAACATAATTTAATAAATGCAATAAATAATGTAGTTCCATTTCTAGGCATTATTATAATTTATTTGTTTTTTAATAAGCAGTTTAAACGTTGAAAAATTTTGTATAATCACTTTTACTTTCCATACATTCCAATTGTCAAACATGTTAATCGCATTACTGGATTAAGTCTAATTTTGTTTTTCGCTGCAAGTTACTATTTTAAATTTTAACCTATTATTGCAGGGTATAAATAATTTTAATCTATGTATATGTACTCGTGATCAGCATTGCTGGGAGACCAGATATACGACCGTCTGCCTGTCCGTCCGTTTCTGTGTAAACTAATCTCCCAATTTAAAAGCTCTCTGATTGAAACTTTCTCTAAAAAGTCTTCTTTCTATTGAACTGGCGGGCCGCTTTTTTAATATCATTTTGTGAGCCACTCTGTAATAGGTATATAAGTCGGAACAGTCCGGATCGGACGACTATATCAAATAAATCTCATAAGAAAACTTGCTAAACCAATTTTTTTATGCTAGAAATGGAATTTTTCAACCCAGCCTTGTTTTTCGAAAATTATATTTGTTCATCATACAAAATTATTATAGAAAACTGCGATTTCTGCTGGTTTTTTTAAAATTTGAAGAATTAACTTTTAATGTTATAAAAATATCATTAAAACAACCGGGCAGCTGCAAAAATCTGTTAAGTTGTTGTACATATTCTGTATAAAAAATAACAAAAACAACTTTCGGTTTTTTCACAGAAATTCTTTTTACGATGTTAAACAAAAATAATGTTGTTATCTGTTTTAATAAACATAGTAATTTGGATTAAATTTATAACAAAATTGTATTGTTATATATGCGTTAATGGCATTCTTTCACGTTTGTCGACAGATGCGGTCAAAATAATAACACTTTTTATATACCTCTTTTCAAAAGCAAAAAAGTTGTTTGAAAGCGAATTTTTTTTTGTTTTCTTAAAGGTAACACTATAAACTCGCTAAGACTTATATATATTACTCCATTTTACGTTAACATTAAAACATTTTTATAGTAAATCAACGAAATTTAATAGTATCTTTCTCAAAATTTTCTAAATTTTATTAAATATTTATTTTAAGCTGTGAAAACCCTTTTGGGCTTTCAAACTTTTTTTTTAAGCATTTTATGTGTCCTCAATGCTATTGCTGTGACTGCAACTGTTCCCAGGTTGCTTTTACTCGAATAATTTGTTTAAACGAGATTAACAACTTTAAAAGATTATAAATGATTTTTGATTTTTAAATAAATTTGGCACACAAAAAACCTTAAAGATGATGACAGTTAGGTTGTTTAATTTAACCAAATAAACGTGCACCCTATTGCACAATTGTTATGCCTCTTTTTCATAAAAAAATTCAAATATATAACTTTAACTCATTATCTAATAAATTTCGCTTTGTCACAAAAATCAATAAGCGCGTTGGCTTAAGGTACGGCTTTTTTGCCTCATTGAAGCCAGTTGCTCAAAACCCCAGAGCCCGGGAGTGTTTTAATACGTCTAAAATCTGATATAAATTGGTAAATTTATATTCAAAGCAAGCTTGAATTTTAATATTAGCTTCGTTGTTGTTATTGTTATTATTATGTTCTGTCGTTTAAATGTGTTATTAATGCAAAGAAAATGTATTAGTAGTAAATATTTGTAATGTTTTTTAAGGAAATTATTTTTAAATGTTGAACTAAGTACATTTTTTTTTATTTTACATTAAACATTTTTGTTTCGCAGATTTTAAATATTTACCATGCGTATATTATTAATATCTGAAATATGTAACTTTAAAGAGCGAACATTAATTTTAAGAATAAATTTAATGTTGAAATCAAAATAGCAGTATAGGCATGCAATTAATAAAAATAATAATCATTTTTTTTGTTGTTTATCTGTTTGTGATTTGTAAGGGTACAAACCCTTACTGCATGAATTCCCAAATTTTTTGTGTATATATTATTCGGAATGTTTGAATACTTGCACTTTTAATTATTTGGACTTAAATTTGTTATTATTTAACTTATATCTATTTGTTTCTTATTTTACATAGACGCAAAAAGAAATGCATTCGTTATATGGAAGCTATGAATGAAAATGGACCCACCGAAGACGGGAGCGGTATTGATGATCACGGAAGCCAGCTCAGTGATGACGACGATGATGACTACGATGATGATAAACTGGGCGGAAGTTGTGGAAGCGCTGACGAAACTAATAAAATAGAAGATGACGACACCGAATCCCTTAACCAATCCATGTCTAGCCCAGGCTGTCTTAGTGGATTGTCCAGTTTACAGAGTCCATCGACGACAATGAGCTTGGCAAGCCCAATTAATATGAATACCAACCCAGCAACTAATGTTTTGTTCCCTGCCACCTCTAATGCTCTTTTGATCGTCAGTGCAGATCAGCCTACTACACAACAACGGTCCACATCTACGTCAGGATCGAGTAGTGGTTCAACTAGTAGCATAAGCACTACTCCAAATACCTCAAGTACAGTTTCGCCAGTCACAGCTACGACGGTTCCGCCTCCAAGCTCAGCTCATGAACGAGCCATGATGCTTGGAAATCGATTTAGTCACTTGGGAATGGGGCTAAGTCCTCCAGTAGTTAGCACAGGTAGCAGTAAGCCTGAACCATTTTTCCAGCCGCATTCAACAGTTTGTAATAATGCAATATTTTCATTGCCGTCGATTGGTAATAGTAGTTTAAACCATTCTCCATTGCCAAACATTTCCCGAAACCCCATAGGTGCTAACCCACGGGATGTTAATAATCCCCTAAGCATAAATCAGTTAACTAAAAGACGTGAATATCAAAATGTTGAATCGGTTAAAGCTACTGACTCACAAACAATTGTTGCTCATGCCGCTACGTCCATTATTCATCATGTGGCAGCCCACGGCTACCGCGCGAACCATTCGCTTTTAAGTAACAATTTTAGTCAACATTTCCATCAGCAGTTAACTGACCATATCGAAACAGCCAAAAGAAGTGAGCCGACAATCCTGTCAGTAAGTACACATGCTGTAAACAACAGTGAATGTCATAAAGCATCTGATCCTCAAGCAAAAGCATCTAGCAAGACCCCAGGCGCAGGCGCTTCAGAAACTGGCGTCATTAGCGTTTCATAACAGATCGCATTGGATCTTTACATATAAATATTCATAGTTGTGTGAGAAAATAATTCCAATAATTAAACGTGCAATAATTATTATTCTCGATGTCCCTTCGCCATCTTCTCAAACGAGAGGCCATTAATGTACTAGTGCCAAGATAAAACCTGCAATATTTCTTTTTAAATAATTAATATGAACATAACGATCATAACATAGATCATAGAATTTGTGCACAAATCGTTTACAACAACTCCAATAGAGGCCAACCATAAATATTTCTTAAGATAAAACAGAAATAGACAGACAGACAATGCCAAATAGATCAGAAAATAAAGAGACAGTATACACTGAAGCCAACAATCGATTATCAACATATCGAATTTGGTTAAATTTCATGTCGATTAATGTTTCATTTATTAAATTTAAACAAAAGCGAACCTATATATACAACATTTTACTATACAAAAAATACGGTTTTTATATGACTCATTGTTTGCTTTTATTATTAGTTTGGATCAAGAAAATCAATATTTAAAAACTATTATTTCCAGAAAAAAATTTAAAAAGCCCTAAAGTAATGGTGCGTTAATTTTGTATTTACTTGTTTGTAAGTGTTGCATCGTAACTCTACGAAAATTCACATAACATTTTTCAAAACTCTTCGAAATAATTTTTTTTCTATTTATTTTTACAAAAGGCTTATTTCTTTAACTTTGGAATAACTTATACAATTATACCATAAGAACGTCAACCAAGAATGTGAGCCATTACAAGATTTGAAATTTAAAATGGTATTCCCTCAAAATACTGTATATGTGTAGTAAAAAAAGTTTAAAAGTTTAAAGCCAAGTTTAAATCTATAACAGTCGACATTGTTTTTCGCCATAAAAGTTTATTTTATTCTGCTTTAAAGTCAACTTTAAACAATAAAATCCCTAATAAATACATAATTAGCGCAAGTACAATAAAAAAAAGTTTCCCCAAATATGCAGCACTTTTAAGAGCGTCCCGACATTCAACCTGCTTTCACCCCTATTTTCAGTTCAGTTTTAAGGATAAAAAATCTAGCTAATGGCAGGGCTAACATCCCATTGTATAAGACTTTTCTCGTAATGTGCAAATTTTTAAATTGACCCAATTCATTTTTATTTATGCACAATCGTTTCTTGAAAAATTTGTCCATTCCCTTTATATCACATGAGTAAGCAAAAAAATCATCAAACTTTATGTTGGAGAATATGGTTCAAAATTATATCAAACCGAAACTAACTGCAGTTCCAATATCGGATCGGGGTTTGTCCTTGAAGTAGTTATAATTTTATAGGTGTGTGACTATTTCGGCAAACTTGAAAACGTTTTTCGACAGCAAAAAAAAAAGCGTAACTTGGCAACCTAGGCTTCATAAATGTAGTACCATTAAAAAAAAATCATCTGATTTTATAAACTATTAAATTGGCTCAACATTTTTCAAGTAATATTTCCGTTTTTTTGGTAAAACAAAAATAAAGTTACTTAAGTTTATATCCATGTGTTGTAAAAAAAGTGAAATAATACAGATAAACATACTTATAAAACGAAAGATTTGTAAATAGGTAATAGGTTTTCACATAGAATTTACTGATAATGCTTACGAATTTATTGACTTTAAGACCTGATAGCTACTATTCCATGTAAAGCAAAACTTGACATACAACTTTTAAATATTAATTTTCTGGTATTAAATATGAGGTAACATTTAAATAGATACTTTGGTCTTAAAACTCATAATTATACGCACTTTTATACTAGTCTTCATTCAGTTATTAAACTCTTAATCAATTATATAGGTATGAGCAAATGCATGTTTTACGTTAGTATTGGGCTTGTCGTAAACGTTTATAATAATACATAAAATGGCTACAAAAGTGTGTCAGTAATAAAGAAATGCATATGTTTAGTTTGCTGAACACCCCCATGTAAGCCTATATTTGTACATCTGTACTTAATGTCTGCGAGACAATCCAATAAATTGCTTTTGTAGAAATAAATAAATACACACATTAATTAGAGCTAGAGCCTTATATAAATCCATAGCATACAAAACATATTTGAAAAAACATTAAACATATTGATATATAAATGTAAATTCAAACGTCTAATTTTCACGGGCATTGTACTCTGTATACCTTAATCATTACATACAATAATTTGAAAATTGAAAAATAAAAAATGATTTTTATGCTATACACTACTCAAAACAGGTCAGAACTAAAAAAATGTGTACCTTATTTAGGGTTGCAAAGAGACCAGTTTAATAGCAATGACCATATTCCTTAACGTTCCTGATAGACAGCTGAGTAACAGCTTGCTCCAAGTTTCATTAAAATTTATAATTTTTTTTTTGCAAGCAATAAATGCAATGTCATAAAATTTAGTTCTTTCTCTAAACATGCAATAACTTTAACAAACACTATCAGTTTTTTCGCTCTCATCCGTTCTCGAAATATGTGTATTTTGTTTTTCATATATGCAGTGACGTCAAAATCTAAAATAACTAACTTATAAGTAGAATTCTAGAATCTGCACGTTAATTCCCAAGTCGCCGGCTTTTATGGTTAACGTGTATACAAATATTACATGAACGATTCTGAAATTTTTTTAAATGATATCAGGAAAGGAAAAATTGTATTTGCGCTAGTCTAAATTATTATACCTATTGCAAGAAAACATAAATACTGAATTTTTAAGTTGTTAACATTTTTGTAAAAAAGGGAAATTAAAAAGGCCATTTAAATGATTTCAATCTTGATTTTAAAAGAATACAAGCACAAAATCAATGCCAATAGAGAACTATATTTCTATTGTAATTTCAAAATCGATTTAAAAAACATCTAAAATTTGTGCCGTTATAACAACTACTGACCTTTTATACCCTTGCAGAAGGTATTATAATTCTTGATCATCATCACTTAAAGAGTCCATCTATCCATGTCCGTCTATCCGTCCGTTTCTACTCAAACTTGTCTCTCAGATTTAAAGCTATTTGCAATAAACTAAATTAATGTTGCCTTTCCTGTTGTTACTACAGTATATAAGTCGGATCAGACGACTATGACATATAGCAACCATAGGAACAATCGGAAAAATAAATAAAAAAAATTATAACTTTGCTATTATTGAATTTGTTTTTATTTTGTTCACGAGATACAAGGTTTAATTCTTTAGAATTACGATTTAAATTTCCTTAAAATCGGGCGACTTTAGCATATACATTTTAGAATTATTATTAAAATGGGAAAAAGATTCCAGACAGCTGCCATAGGAAGGATCGATTTGCGAGAAGCGTTTAGGAGAACTAACCCCCAATCCTTACCTGACTATTTATCTATATTTGGTCCCTTATGTATTTACAAACTCCATAGAATATCTCACTATCTCCATTAATCGAGAAAAAGGATGGCAGTCAAATTTAAAATGAAAACTATTTCGGTGCATCAGTAAGATGGTTAAATTAAAAAAACTGTAAGAAAAGGTATACGGATTTTACTTATATAGCAAGCCCAGAAATTCAATAAATATAATGCTGTGATACACAAATTGCCGTTTTATATAAGGCTCTAGTTAAGTATATGTATATAAATTTATATATATATATATATATATATATATATATATAAGAGTTCAATCGCAAACTTTTTTCAGAATATGAAGATTCTGTGTTACAATAGTTTGGTGGTCTTGATTGTATAAACGAAACAATGTATTAATAATATAATCAGAACAATGTATAAAGCCATTGCCAATTTAAAAGACTGTTGAACACATATTATATATGTTTTACACTGATAATTTATCTATAAATAAAAAACTATATTAAGCTTTAATTCATAAACCCTGTTTTATGTTTATGTTAAATAAAAAACGTATGATGCATGTATTATATATGCAATTAGTTTAAAACTTAATTTTAATAAATGAAATATACAATGTGTATTTCTTTCATGCTTCCATATTCTGTGTTTTAAACTATTGTTTTTCCTGAAACGATTTTGCAATATCAACTGTTTAATTTCTAGGAGCAAATTTAAAGAATACTGTTTATTTGTTTTAATTCGCATGTTTTTGTATTTACGTGTATTTCAGTGCAGTTTAAAATTATATTCATAAATAACAAATTAAAAAAAAATTTATGAACTAATATCTAACAAAAGCTGGTAGGAGCACTATCATTAAACATCTTTCGAAATACGTTGATCCCAAATCCATACTAAAGTGGACCCAAAACGAATATTAAAACACATAATATTTATGTACATAAATAAAAAAGAATTTTAATTACTTTTATAATGGTTAATTAATGATTTTATTTGCTGTATAAAGGTTATGTTAAAATTAATAAATCTAATATAATGAATGAATGAATGTCCGCAATATTCATTATATTATCGGTCGACTGATAGGTTCTTAGCCTTAGCTGAACTCTAGATAGAGGCAAGGGTTAGCAATGTGTATTTATAATGAATGTTATACTATACCTAAGTGGATATATAAACAAATTACTATCAATAAGTTGATAGCAATCACATGCATAACTGTTTAAGTAAATACTACTTAAATTAATATATAAGTAATATAAGAAAAATATAGAATAAGTACATATACACTATATTAAAAAGAAATAATGTTGAAAGTATAAAAACATTTTTTAATACAGCAGGTGTACTGGATTGGGAAATATGGTACGCATCCGATTTCAGCTTTCATAAAATGGGAAATTAAACAATGAAATTGCCTGCCGAGCTTAAAGTTAACTAGAAAATTTTTTACTGTCAGCACACTAAACAATAAATGTAAAAAATTTCATTTAATTTAAATATGAAGGTATTGATTAAATTTGGAGCAATTAAAAATCAATTTGTTTATAAGAAATAGTGGAGAAAGTGAAAATTTTGAAAATGAGAGCTGATGGAAGAATGTCCTATTTTTTATTGGGACTATAGAATAATTTGAAAGGATTTCCACAGGATGGCATTATTTGTATCGAACGTCACAACACCTCGTATTTTTATTTTGTCTGTCAATTTCAGTATGTGTCTCTGCGTTTAAGTGTAAAAGACAGAGATTTTGAGCACAGAATATGTCCAATTGTGTACCAACAAAACGCAACTTGCGTTTACTTACTTACTTCTTTGCTTTCTTGCCTATTGTGATTATTCTTCATCAATTTAAACCCAAAAATATCTTGCAAAATCCGTCGGAGTGACTCAACTACATTGAACGTTTAAATGAAACAGTATACAAGAGCTAGGAAATTGAGTGCCATATGTGCAGTCCGAGTTCCGTTACCCAGCCTGGTGGCTGGGCAAAAAGACAGAAATTGGTTATAGTTGCTGGGCGGCCCCGGTAGGGAGGCTCGTATAGCATCCAAAAACTCGAAGGAGCCATCGCAGTCTCAGACCCCACTGAGCAGACTGTCAGGAGCAACGCCGCAGCAGCCAACG